TGATTCTTTAGCTTTATGATTTATATGTATCCGAAGAACAAAGTATATTTAGCAAATAGGTACCCAGCAATCGACGAATAAAATATAATATAACCATAGCAACGTTAAAAGAACGTATTACCATTATAACAACATTCATAGAATGTACCACGTGTACTTATTAAACTTGACTGTATATAAACAAACTTCGAAACGATGTATGAAATAATCAAGTCGTCTATGCTGTCAACAATAATTGTCTTTTTTACATGTACATGTATATTCCCTTCGTCACTTCTATGAATTATAACAAACATCATTCAAACTTCAATTATTATAAGATTTTAGCAACCTTACACTACGGTGGCATTGAGGTGACATGTGTATGTTTCTATTTATCTCGTGCGTACGAGATATTATGTCGTGCGCACAATATACTGTGGCGTGCGACCGAGATACTAGGTCGTTAGCTCGAGGCAAGTAAGTCGTGTGCACGAGTGACTATGTCTTGCGAATTAGCGTGTCGTGCGCATGAGATACTGTGTCGTGCGCACTAGTAACAAGTCTTGAGCTCGAGACAAATAAGTCGTATGCACTAGAGATGAATAAGTTCTCGACATAAATAAAACATACACATGTCATCTCTGTGCTATCGTACTTACACTGCCAGTAAAAGTAAAAATCAACAGCTTGTAATTTATAAAAAATAATTGTTATTTATAAAAGTTGTACTCAGGTATAAGATTGATACAATTTTGGAGCATAATTTTACATAAAATCTCATTTTATAGGGACACGAATTATCTTTCTGCTGTGTCTGTTATAGGTTGTCATTTTTGTTATTAATCTTCTAAGGACATATAGCTCTCTCGTGTTTCAAATTAAACATGAACAGAAAAAAAAGATATGTTCCTCATAAAACTATTTCGCCGTCTAATGCGAATGCTCTGAACGATATGTGAGGAAAGCAATATTTACACAAACACTGTTACAAAAGATATTCTATCGTAATCATGTACGTTTGTAAAGGCAGAAAATTAATTGGAACAAATCGGTTTCCGACAATGATTTTTAATGTGTCGATTGCCGTCGATATTCTTTAATGTCACAATTGCCATATATTCTGTTTCATGTGCCGATTGGCGTCCATGCTGTTATATGTGTCGATTGACGTCAGTGTTGTTTTAAGTGTCAATGTCGTCAATGCTGTTTATTGCCGTATATGCTGTTTCATGCGCCTGTTGACGTCTATGCTGTTTCATGTGCCTGTTGACGTCTATGCTGTTTCCAGTTTCTGTTGACGTCTATGCTGTTTCATGTATCTGTTGACGTCTATGCTGTTTCATGTGTCTATGGCGTATATGCTGTTTCATGTGTCTATGGCGTATTTGCTGTTTCATGTGTCTATGGCGTATATGCTGTTTCATGTGTCTATGACGTATATGCTGTTTCATGTGTCCATGGCGTATATGCTGTTTCATGTGTCTATGACTTATATGCTGTTTCAAGTGTCTATGGCGTATATGCTGTGTCATGTGTCTATGGCGTATATGCTGTTTTATGTGTCTTTGGCGTATATGCTGTTTCAAGTGTCTATGGCGTATATGCTGTTTCATGTGTCTATGGCGTATATGCTGTTTCATGTGTCTATGGCGTATATGCTGTTTCATGTGTCTATGGCGTATATGCTGTTTCATGTGTCTATGGCGAATATGCTGATTCATGTGTCTATGGCGTATATGCTGTTTTATGTATCTATGGCGTATATGCTGTTTCATGTGTCTATGGCGTATATGCTGTTTCATGTGTCTATGGCGTATATGCTGTTTCATGTGTCTATGGCGTCTATGGTGTATATGCTGTTTCATGTGTCTATGGCGTATATGCTGTTTCATGTGGCTATGGCGTATATGCTGTTTTATGAATCTATGTTGTTTCATGTGTCGATGCTGTTTCACGTGTCAATGCCGTCAAGAATGTTTTATTCGTCGATTGAAGTCAAGGCTGTTTCGTGTGTCAATAGCCGTCATTTCTGTTTTATGTACCGAAAAGTGTCATTTATTTTGCTTAATTTATTCTTTGTAAACTTTATATCTCCATTTTGTCTGATCAATCAATATCAATGATTCTTTGTGGGATATTTTAGGAATGACACTCAAAAACTTTATAATTATGAACAATCAAATATCAATCATTGGTTAACATGAAACGAAATAATTAATATCCATAAATAGTTTGCCATATGTTCCCTTGACAATCGTTGTTTAACATAAACTAATTTCTCGTTGAAGACGATGAGTGGTCGATAAGATAGTAGAACGTGGAAACAGCTGAAATTTTAAAAATTGGTTTATCAGTTTGCATGAGCAAATACAGAACAAAAATAGATTGACGCTTTACAATGATGGTTAAGTTTTATTCTTTAATGATAGATTAAATCTTTGTGCTACTGATATACGCTATAAAAATGTTGAAACTGGAGGTTTCTTATAACTCTAGTTATGAAGTGACTGTTCAATGAAATAGAGTACGGCGTATACGATGGTTTTCTCAAACCAGAATGCTCTAACCCTATCCTAATCTTTTAAATTTTATATAATGGATTTGCCTTCCCTTGAATTTGGAATACTTCATACGAGTTATTAGGGTTTTGTTATCAAAATATTAACATTGAGCTGCCATCAATATAGAGTGTGTTCAGACTGTCTTATTGCACGGATATGCAGGCTGGCCTGGCTCTATACTTGTGATTCTATTCCAGTAGTAATGGCTTAATGTATATTCACAAATGATTATTGTTCTAACAAAATAGTTTTAATTCAAAACAGAAGAAAAAACACGGCTCCAAAGTAATAAGGAGAGGAATAATATAAACACTTAGATTTCTTGATCTTTCTGACATTTTACAGCATTCTTCTTAATGGTTTTGTTACTCGTGTATTGAACCTTTAACCTGCCAGCACAAAATATAACCAGTATAGAGCGAGGACAGCCTTCACTTCCTTGCAGCCTGACCATACTGTATTCAGTTAGCTGATTAAACTTTAAATATTTAAATTGATTTTTTTTCAAATTGATAATGGTTGGCGGTTACAAATTGATAAAGGGCGGTTACAAGTTGATAATTACAAATTTATAATGGGCGGTTACAAAGTTAATAATGGGCAGTTACATATTGATAATGGACGGTTAAAAACTGATAATGGGTGGTTACAAACTGAAAATGGGCGGTTTAAAACTGATAATGGGCGGTAACAATATTGGGAGTTGAACAAGGTCATACAAGAAATTCATCAGGTTAAGGTTGAAACACAGTTTGCTGTCATATTATCTCTAGTCTATAATTCAAAAATTATTTTTGTTAAAAATCTAGATTGTTTAGTGTAGAAATTTAGTTTTTCCTTGCTAGATATTTTCTTCGCTTTGTTTTATTGTAGAAATATGCTTTTAGTTACTCATGTTACTATCATAAAGATGTTATGATAGATAACAATAAAATTCCAAGCTAAAACAATTTTATAATGCCCTGTAGATCATATTATACATAATGTTACCTCATAAAGTAGCCAGGTTTATTGATAATAATAATTACAATTTAAATATGTCTGTCACTTTGTTTTAGAACATTACAAATGAAGGGCCTTTATTGCATTGTTTTATTTTCTTATTTTTTAAACATTTTTTACGCTTTTACATTTTCACTGCGATGTTGAATGAATTTTGCATGTTATACTCGAATGTTTGCATTAACAAACTATATGCATATCACGTGATAACTATTTCCTTGTAATATGAAGTACACTGAGATTTAAAACATCTGTCTCATAGGGCATAATGTAACACCTTATTTGGTAACTTGATAGACAAGACTACAACATTCCTTGCCCATGTCTGTACACGATATGTCTAAATTGGTTTGTGTTCTTTATTGTCTTAAATATAAAGCTAGCGTTTTGAGGACCGGTTTATTGTTTGTTTGTTACATTAAAACCAAACATCCTTGTCACATTATGCGCACTATTTTTAAATTACAACATGTATATTAGAAGTAAGAACTAGATGAGCGCTCGCGTAGTAAGTGTTGGTGTGGTATTGCTGAAAAGTAATCTATTTTTGTTCTTTCATTACTCGCATTTCCCGAACAATTTTTGTACATCTATATACAAGGAAACAGTTGTCACCATAGCACTTGTGTTGTTGTCATGTTTGTGTTATTTGTTTTATATATATATTGAAACTTTAAAGCATCGTAACATAACATGATAGTGTTTACATAAGAAGATTACTTTATTACGTAATTATTTAAGAATATATGTATGTCTTAGAATTATAATCTTTTCTAGCATAATATGAATAATTAGATTACTCAACGTTTTATACTTAGTCTAGTAAATATAATAAAACTACTTATTACTTTATAATCCTAAGTGCATGTACTTTTCACTGCAGACCTTTTCATACATGCATTTTATATAGCGTTTGACAATTACTCATTTAAGAAACGTTTGTTTTTAATTTATATACATTTATATATACACCTTATGACGTTAAGTGATAACTGCGTCATTTTCTATGTTTAAATGCAGTAATAAAGTTATTCACCATACAAGCAATTTATATACAAGGAGTTTGCTTAAGGTGGCTTTAATTAATGAAAAAATGAGACTCAATCAAGGAATGATTTATATATTAATATAAAAATATTTTGATCAGTTTAATTGATTGTAGAGAAAAAAGTCTAAAAAATCTAAATATAAATGTTAAACTGTTTCAAGTTTTGATAGTAATAAACGCAACTGTGCATTTCCAAATTCTTAATCAAATATCATATTCATGTTTATTTATAATCAGGTGCTAGGGGCATGAATTGTAGATTGTATGAACATTAAGATTTGACTTTTGCAATAAGGCATGGTGAAAACTTCTTGTCATTCAACGATTATTATGCAAGTGTATGTTTTACTGTTTTAATTTTTCAATCAAAATGATTGTTATTATCATATCATATATATGTTTTGTAGTATACACTGTCTCAGGAAACGATAGATTATTTGAAACAGCCAACATTTGATATCTGGCACTGGGAACCGAACGAGGTAATCTTTTTCATATCAGTAGTGTTATTGTTGTAGAAATTGACTGATTGTGTTTTTCTTCCGTAAAACAAGCAATCGTCGTTGTAATTGCAAATCAATTGTTTACAACAAACCAACATTTTATGGAATATGTGACTGTGTTATGTAACTTTTATAGTTGAAATAGCACCTTGCCATTTGTGATAGAATTTCAGCAACATAAAACCATGTGTTTCTCAATAATTACAATACATGGTAATATCATTATTGGTTTTATACATTTATTCATAAAGATATTTTCAGTCTCGATCAGAAAACTTGACCTGCAATTTAATCGATCTACAATTAATCGTTACACTCAAACTCAGTGATCGACATAGCATAAACATGTTATTTCAATTAAAAATCGATTAATGTTTGAAATTACTGATTGTCAAATAGGATTGCAGTAATTTAAATAATTAAAAAGACTTTTACTTAAAAGATTAGTATATTTAATCAATTATTGGTCAACGCAATTACACAACTAAATTGCTTACCGTTTATTAGTAAGCATTTTGCAAAAAAATACATAGGACAAGAGCGGCTGTAAATGCCGCACCTATACAGAAAATTCTATTTTAAGGAATCCCTCAGTATGCTCAGTATAATATGTTTAGCATTTGTAAATAAATATTAATTAAAAATCATATCAAAAATACTTATTTGGTACGTTATGATAAACTACGGAGATAATTACAATATAAATCTATGGGCAAACCTTTCTAAATGCCCTTAACTACTGATACAAAATTCAATACAATTTTATCATTATATCTCGCAATCAACAGCAATCATATTGTTAAAATTGACATCTTGGTCTAAATAAAGAAGAAACGATAAAACCTAACAAATTATTATATCATGTCTGTACTCGGTATGTCTAAATTGTCGTGCGATCTTTATTATCTTAAATATAAAGCTAGCGTTTTAAGGACCGGTTTATAGTTTGTTTGTTACATTAGAACCAACATCCTTGTCAAGTTTACGTCACATTATGCATACTATTTTCAAATTATATTATAGATGTAAGCACTAGATGAGCGCTCGTGTAATCATTGTTGCTGTGGTATTGCTGAGAAGTGATCTATTTTGTTCTTTAATTACTCGAAATACTCGAACAATTTTTGTACATGTATATACAAGGAAACAGTTGTCACCATAGCACTTGTGTTGTTGTCATGGATTTGTGTTATTTGTTTAATATATATATTAAAATTTTAAAGCATCGTTACATAACATGATAGAATTTTTTCATAAGAAGATTACTTCATTTCGTAATTATTTAGGAAAATATGTATATCTTAGAACTATAATCTTTTCTAACATAATATGAATAATAAGATTACTTCAAGTTTAATACTTAGTCTAGTAAATAATTAATTTAAACTTCATATTACTTTATAATTCTAAGTACATGTACTTTTCACTAAATGCATTTTATTTAGCTTTTGACAATACGTTTGTTTTTAATTTATATACATGTTTATATACACCTTATGACGTTACGTGATTACTTTGTCATCTTTTAAGTTTAAATGCAGTAATAAGGTTATTCACCATACAAGCAATTTATATACAAGGAGTTTGCTTAAGGTGGCTTTAATTAATGAAAAAATGAGACTAAATCAAGGAATGATTTATATATTAATATCAAAATATTTTGATCAGTTTACTTGAATATAGAGAAAAAAGTCTAAATAATCGAAATATAAATGTTAAACTGTTTCAAGTTTTGATAGTTATGAACAAAACTGTGCATTTTCAAATTCTTAATCAAACATCATATTCATGTTCAATTGTTAACTTCTGCATAAGCCGGTGCTAGGGGCATGAATGGTAGATTGTATGAACGTTAAGATTTGACTTTTGAAATAAGGCATGGTAAAAACTTCTTGTCATTCAACGATTATTAAGCAAGTGTATGATTTACTGTTTGATATTTTCAATCAAAATGGTTGTAATTATCATTTAATATATATGTTTGTAGTATACACTGTCTCAGGAAACGATAGATTATTTGAAGCATCCAACATCTGATATCTGGCACTGGGAACGGAACGAGGTAATCTTGTTTCATTTAACATTAGAAAATCGGTAGTGTTATTGTTGTAGAAATTGACTGATCGTTTTTTTTTCTTCCCGTAAAACAAGCAATCGTCATTGTAATTGCAAATCAAATATTCACAACAAACCAAGATTTTATGGAATATGTAACTGTAATTTTTATAGCTGAAATAGCACCTTGCCATTTGTGATAGAATTTCAGCAACACAAAACCATGTGTTTCTCAATAATTACACTACATGGTGATATCGTAATTGGTTTTATACAAAAACAAGATTTGTTCAATTAAGATGGTTGAGCGAGATATTGTATTGTTTGTAATCTCGATTCTCCAGCTTCATAGACGAATTAAAATTGTCAATGCAAGTCTAGATAAACATTTGTGTTTGTTATTTAGACACCCTTCCACTGTTACAATCGAATGTTGCCATCAGTTTGATGACCGGTATTTCAATATCTATATCCGAGACCTTTAATGTTTATACCAGAAACTTAAATGCAAATTAGTGTGTAATTTTATAAACAAAAACATTAACTGAAATATTAGATTTTTTTTAAATTTCTGTACACGTTTGCTTTAAAGTTGAATATCATGATAGCTATATTCAGTCGTTTTTTTTAAGTTGTCTTCGTTTTATATCAGCTGACAAAATCCCCATGAATAAAATCTTATTTTCGTAAATTTAAAATTAATTAAGTTACATTCGATCAACATAATCAATACGAAACAATTTGTAATGAACCTTATCCTAGATTCTATTCTAAGCTTGAAATCTGTCGTGGGAATCGATTTCGTTTGGGTTTTTTTTCTACGTGCGTGATAAATATATAATATATTTATATATAAGTATCGATATTCAATGAAATACAAGATAATTTTGTTGCAATAAAAGGTAATAAGGCTAGTAATGGACCCAGGTGTAATAGAGTCTTGTTTATTGCTATAGGAACAATATATTCAAATGTCACCATGGAAATACTTATATAAAACACATATGTTATTCTCGCCTTTCAAGTGTGTTACACAACACTTATCTTTAGTCGCCATGGCTTTCTTTAAACATAACGAAACAATTTTGTTTGTTCGTTTTTTTGCGACGGACGCGCCCTCAGGCGCGTTCAGAGCTATGTCATCTACACATGGGATTTCGTCGGCTACAATCGCGCAGGTGTCCTAAACCAAATAACAACCCAAGAAATAGTACATGAATTTGATCCTATGCAACTCCCATACTTTGTCGAAATATCTTAAAAACTTCCATATTTAGCCTTTTCAATTTCGAATTAAGTTATCCAAGTTAAAATATGAACGTATTTGATTGATAAAAACGTTGTAGCCCCCGTAGTATTATTGCGCAATATGCAAATAACTGCTGAAACGATTTACCGCTGTCGAAAAAGTAGGACAGCAAATTATGCTATAATTAAGGAGTAAGCTCAATAATTCATAAAAAATATTAGTAGGAAATAAATATTTCTCCATTAAACATCTTTTATTAACAGATAAAAAGTTTTTCGTGACTCTAGAATAACTCGCGCATTAATAAAAGAAGAACTCTTTCCGTGACTCATACCGCGGATTTAGCTGAATATGCAGCAGTTATTAATAAATTAGACTACAGTACAATGGTTAGTAATATAAATATCTATTTTTGTATTTTCTGATCGTAAGATTAGTAAATACATAGCTAACATCCACGGTCTAACACAAAATTTCCTAACAGTCCTAACAACGCAAAGTAGTTCTCACTCAAAACTGCTTAAAAACCAGCAATTTAAAAGAAAGAATAATTTTTAATGTAGGCATTTAACGAATTACAGTGCATTAATAGTTTAGATTAGTCAATAGAAATATGAGGTTACAATCACAAATTTTTGAAAATGCATGGGATCAACACTTTACCACCGTGTAGTCTTTCATGGTAATCTTTCTTGAAGGAAGTTATAATATCAGTTCTACTTCCGATTCTTGTGTTTTGTTTACATAATTTTCTAGGTCACGATATGAGTTAACCTGCTATGAGATTATAATAGCCAACACTATTCTAAAAATAGATTCTGCATCACCTGTGCTGACTTTCGGACAAGCGATTAGGAAGTACATGTTAAACATGTAATAAACCAGCGGATACTTACTTTGTTTACATGCAATACTTTAAGAAATTCTATTGTAAGAAGCAAACAAGTTGAAAATGGAATTTAGTGTGAAATTGAAAGGGACAACTAAACACTGTAGTGCTTAAGTGACATTTAAATTAAAATAAAAACGATGTGCTCTGGCCTCTACATCTTAACCTTGTAAATGAAAAATAAATTCTAAAAAAATACACCATTAATTGCTGATGATTTTAACCAAAAATATTTTTAATGAGACATATCCAAGAGAAATAAAAATACAAATGACTTATATTTTATTGTCTATATGCCCACTATGATATAACACGAAGCAATTCTAATTAACATTCTCACATGTATTATGTATTATGCTTGAAGTTTATTTGCATGGTTTTATTTTAGAAATATTTCGTTGACAGTTTTTTTTCTATTTACATATCATTTCTTGGAATAAATCGATAAGGACACTGATTTACAAGTTTGACCAGAGTTTTAAGGCATAAATTTCATTCTGTATTTAAAAATTTGGACTTGTTCTGCTTGAAAGTAGAAAATCTGAATTATATCAGATTGGGACACATAAAATATATTGCTCTACAAATCTCGAACTTGTATGGAACAAATTTTCTCTGTTATACCTTTTGTGTTTTTTTTTTTTCTCAAAAAAGCCTTTCTAATCAAAGTGTACCTATCGACCATTGATTTAATTATACATCATATGACAGCTGTTAAAATATTTATTATCATTTTTATATCCATACCTTTTTTTCTATTGTTTTGAAATGTCGCCTTTTCTGGCGACTGAGGGGTTGCTTTCAAGGCTTAAGGCAACAGACAGCAGCCGCCGTTTATCCCTGCGTGATCAAAAGAGGCGACTAAATGTGTTTGAATTACTGGAGTCTCTGCATCTGTATGCTCCAGCAGTTGAGGTGGTTTTCATCCATGGTGTTGCTTTAACCGTTTAACACTCGACGTTAGCCAAATTATCTTTCCTGTTTGTGCCTGGTACCAAATTGTGTTAGTGTGCCGGACCAAACGAACACAAACACATCTTGAAATTTCAGATTAGATCTCGCGCTCTTTATTCAAATATTGTGTCTAGAAACTCTTAAATTCTCAGCTGAACTCTATTCGAAGCAGAACCCTCATTCTTTCTTTTAAAAGTTTCAGCTTTTAGTAATTTTAATATATGAATTGAATTGCACACATTAATATGTACTCGTACCTTATATGTGATTTATGCTTATAAATTTATGTGCAGATGGAACATTCCGAGTTTAAAGTTGCTATGTTATAATACTGTTTTCATTACAAATTCCATGTCTAATATAGCAAAGTGATAAAGAAATGAATATTTGTAATTAGCATGAACCCAGTTTAGTATCAACCCAAAAACACTGAAAAGATGGATGGTAAGAGGACAGTCTTTTTTCCCTTCTTACTATTTTGAACTTTATTTTGTTCAGAACACTATATTTGAGAAACATAGTATTGTCTGGTAAAAAGACACAGACATTCACCTCGAAATAAAGCTCCACATTGATGATTTAGACAAGGCATTATATGGACAATAGTTTTAATGACTAAACAGTGACTATTGTATTATTCAAAAGGGTTATTTAAATGACCACCAAATTGCAAGTGATGTCTCAATTTATCAGCTTCTTATAATTAAAAAAAATCTAAACAAATGCTCATTAGAAAAAGTACCTCTTTGTTATTCTTCGACTTCATACACTCTTCTCACCTTATTATTTTTTATGTATCACGTGAACGCATCAATGACACGCTGATAGCTTTATGACAGAGATATGTAACTTGGACAAATTTCGTTTCCTTATCATGAAACTACTTTTAAGACAACAATATCACCAAATAAAGAAACTATCAATATTTCAGTGTTTATATATAGTAAATTGAAGTCAATATTTCCAATACGTTCATTGTTTTGATTAACAAATGCCATCAAAAGCAACCATGCTAAACAAAGCTTTTCCATTATTTTATCTAAAAGACAGAAATGATACATATAATTACACTTTTGTTCTCTGTTTTTCAGAGGAAGATCATCCTAGCTTCCTAAAATATTTGCATTTTATAAGATTATCTTTATATAATTTGATTCTGACGTTGGATTTATCACAACTATCATGCATGATAACAATATGTCAAAGAAACTGACAAGAACAATCCATATGAGTTTTCCGTCAATCTGTTTGTCTTATTTGTTTCTAGAAAATATATAGCATGCAATGAGATTGAATTATGATGTTTCTTTTTAATAAACATGTTTGATATCTTAAATAAAGAAATTGCATGATACAAGAATTTACATGCGTCATTTAGAAGACAAATCTTGTATTGTATCCGTGCATTTCAGCTATGTGTCCAAGAAAATTACAGGAATAATCCGTTTCATAACTTCCGACATTGCTTCTGTGTCACTCAGATGATGTATGGAATGATTCATTTATGCAAACTCTGGGATAAAATGACGAGGGAGGAAATCGGAATACTTCTTACAGCAAGCGTTTGCCACGATCTAGATCACCCTGGTTATAACAATACGTAAGCATATGATTTAATATCAAACGAACAAAACATCAACGACATTAGTGAATATTAATTGCGACCTTTTTTCAGGATCCTATTGTTAACAAATGGTGGTCTTGAATGCATTGAATTGGTATTCTGTTTTGTTTATATATTATTTCTTTTAACCTATGCAAATAATTTTATCTTGTTTGTGTTTACTCATTTATACTGATATCCACGATATATAAAACAAAATAAAGTCGGATAACTTCAACAATTGCGAGCAACAAATGAAAGAAAACATTATTTTAAAAATGATACATGTAAATTAAAAAGTATTAACATAATTATGTAAATTAAACATTGAAATCTGAAGCAATCTTAAAACACTGCTCAGTCGCAAGAGAATGATAAATCCATATGAAATATTATGGTAACATGTTTAGTAAAAACTATACTGCGCAAGCTGACCTATAGGCCCGTAGGGCCTGGTGCTGTTATTATAAATATATAATTTCATACTGCTTTTCACATCTTCTTTCAACTGATCTTATTTGCAAATGATAGATCTTTTTACCATTGGTTGAGAATTAAGGGTTGACCATTTTAATTTTATTTTGTTTTCATTTTATTATAGTATTTTAATAGTATTTGAAACGTTCTCTAATATTTAAAATTACAACATCTTATCTAATTTTACTTTTGAGTTCCTTTATTTTCATGTTTGTAGTTTAATTTCGCCCGTTTTATTCTGTCTTAATGTCATATAAATTCGGTTTTAAACAGTGCATCACACAACTAATATTAGCGACAGACCATAGGTAATCGGCGCGTTGATTGGTCACTACCCCCGCACCCCCTCCCCCCTCACCCACTCTACAGCCCTCCTACCTCTCAAAACCATGTAAAATACAGTATTTTTCATTTGAAACATGTTTTAATATTTGGTTTATGCTTTTAATTCAATAACCTTCATTTCCTACAAAAAAATAAAAATTGATACATATATATTTAGATTTTATATTTATTTAAATAATAATATAATTTGATCATATTTATATGCGCAATACAATGAAATATGCATTCATTTCGAATAAACTGCCATTTAGTCGGGTAATTTTGAAGAAAACCCAGCGGTCAGATCACTGTCGAGTTACACTTGCGGTGACTTCGAGATTACATATCTTCTTATAACTTGAAATGATTGTAATGACAACTTTAATTCCTTTAAGAGTAATCAATTCCCTACCATTTGGTACCAAAATATTGAAAATTGGTGAAAAAATGTTGAAGTTATGGAGTTCATATTAAGATGAGTGCTGAAAATTGAGCGGCGAGTTGCATACCTTTACTAAATATATATGTATCAATTTTTTATTTTTTGTAGGAAATGAAGGTTATTGAATTAAAAGCATAAACCAAATATTAAAACATGTTTCAAATGAAAAATACTGTATTTTACATGGTTTTGAGAGGTAGGAGGGCTGTAGAGTGGGTGTGGGGGTGAGGGGGAGGGGGTGCGGGGGTAGTGACCAATCAACGCGCCGATTACCTATGCGACAGACATGGCGAGAAATAGTGAAATTTTCGAGTCATTTAAAACTAAACTGGAGGGCAAATTCGATTTCAAGAGCAAAAAGCAGCTGGATACTTTAAGTACATGACTCACTAGTTTAACTATAATACTGGAATGTGTTCTTACTTGTTTATGTGTGACATAATACTTGTAAGTCTAAAGTTGTGTCAACACAAACACACACTCTGACACTGCAAGAAATAATATATCACAAAATATTCAAATAAAAACAAAGCATTAAAATAAGATCAGATATATTAAAGGAGCTCCATTGAGGACAACAAGCCTAAAACATTAATTTTGAATTTTTTAGACAGATCAACTGATGGACTTAAAATTGAAAAATCTACAAATATACACAGAATTAAATTGAATATCATTGAAAAGCTTTCCATCACTTTTTAAATTTTGGCTACATTATTCAGGAAAAACGAGGTAAGAGAATGATCGGAACATGTGTGTATCTGCTAATAGGATGAAGTTGGAGTCCCATACAACGAAAGAATGTGTACATAGTGTAATTAAAATATTGGAGATGAATACCATTTGATACTTGAATGTTCTGCGATAAATGTACTGAGAACAAATTCATTAAAGGAATATCTGCAGCCGAAATAGCATTACATGCTGCAGAACGATGACTTCTTCACTAAAAACCATATTGATAATCATAAATGTTGTAAATATTTGGAATTGAATTGTGCCTTAAGTAACAGTATAAATGATCTGTTTAATATAAAAATGCAGTTTTCTGTAGAATATACTATTGATATATTCTCGTTGGAAACGTCTTTGGTATTTTACTTATTATTATATGTAAATTGTATACTATATTGTTATGTTCATTTACATGACTCACTGGGTATAACTATTTGTATTAATGTTTTGCCTCAGTATGTCATATTTACCTTTAAATGGGTGGAAAAGAACAATTGAAATTGAAGTTTAGAAAACAATTGTCATGTGATTAAAATTGTCGTGTTTTATAGATATCTAAACGGAAATGTATTTTTCACTGGTTTCCCTTGCTATTGGAAATTCAGATTATCCGGGATAATAACATAAGCTCTGACAATTTCAAAAAGAAAGTTGTTACGGATCGATATTTCTATCAGTGCTGCTGAATATTTAACATTTTGTACACTACTAGTAATATGAATTTATAACTATGTTATCCACCTTTTCTTCGTCCAAGCGAATGTCAGCTTCGTTTATATTGTTCAATGAAGAATTTCGTGTATTTTACAGCTGAAGATGGTTTTAATCAAAATCAAATGTTGTGATATATCAAACGAAGTGCGTCCAATGGAGGTGTCAGAACCTTGGGTTGACTGCCTTTTAGAAGAGTACTTCAATCAGGTGGGTATTTATGATTAAAATACGGATCCTATATAAAGTTCAGTAATATCTTAAGTGAATAAAGAGCGAGAAAAGTGTCCCCGAAGCTCATCTATATTTAAACTGGCTATAGCAAATTAAACATGCGTTAGCGAGGTACAAAATTTATGTGGAAAGCAAAGCTATGTACTCAAACAGTTGTTATAAATAAGTGAAAGATAAGCTTACTCTTTACTAACATTATATGATGTTATAGTAAGTTACTAGATAAGCAATTTTATTTACCATATTTTAATCTTATAGACAAACACATACACAAATAAAACTAAATAAGCTTAATCAATTCATGTTTATCTTTAATTCCAATGTGATAAAACAAAAAACATAAACATGGACAAAAGGAGAATCTACTGACCTCCTGCTTAGGTCAATCTATAGAAGTTTTAATTGAAATTAATTATTTACAATGTATGCCTTTCTCCAGTCTGACAGGGAAAAGATGGAAGGTTTACCAGTAGCACCTTTCATGGATAGAGATAAAGCGACCAAACCAACGGCTCAGATCGGATTTATCAAATTTGTTCTCATTCGAATGTTTGAAACAGTATCAAAGGTATAACAAAAATGTGTGTTCAAATATTTAAAAGATGCTGAAATTGTTTACAGGGAATCATAAAAAATAAAATGCTTGTCTGTACTCTGAAAGTTGTTGCAAGATATGGATTTATTGTTTTGTCAACGTGTGACTCGAGTCATTTCCGCTGACGTTTTGTTAACAAATATATCTCGTAAGGAAATAAAGGATAAATAAAGCTTCTTTAACTACATTACAAATCTTCTACTTGTAATGAAAAAATGAAATTGCCACTGTTTATCTATTCTACTCTACTCTATTTAATTAATTATAAAGTGTGTTGACATGTTACAGTGTAACCTCTGTAGAGTTACACCATTTGGAAGACAATTATATTGGCTGTTGCTTACAGGTGTTGCTGTAAAGAAAATATAATGGAAATCTTTACATTTTGTAGTTGTTTCTAAAGATCGCTCTGCAGAGATTATACTTATTATTATTATAGAAGAAGCAAAGTATTATATTAAACATAGCTGAGAAACCCTTCATTAAAAATGTTATTGATCAATCGATTGCAATACAATGTGTTGCCTGTAGTGATACCTGCTCACCAATAACCGCACTGTCTGTAGTGAGTAAGAAAGTAGAAAGTAAACAATTGAAATGGAATTTATTTACTTTGAGACTCTACAAATAAAATGTTACCCAAATTATGAAGTTCATTTGTATTTGAATATGATAATCAATATAATCATTCATTGTCCTCAGGTATTCTCTTGAAACATTTTTAAATTAATTAAAAACCATCTATATTACAGCTATTCCAACAGATAGATAAGACGATGGTCCAGCCGTTACGTCTAGCACGGGACAGGTATGAAGGTATGAAGGAACAAAGTACGCCACCTAACCCAAAGCCTGAAAAAGATCAGGTAGCTGAGTAGGGTTATTCATATATTTACCTTTTTGTATCATTATTGAATATTTTCTAATTTGTATCCGCAAAAAAGTCCATTTTGAGCAAGATATATAGTTCAGTTTATTATTTTCATATATATCTGTTACTTTATTGTTAGCTCGACTATTCGATAATAATAAGTAGAGCTATTGTAGTCACCCGAGCGTCGGCGTCAGCGTAACCACTTATGTTAAAGGTTTTGTAATACCTGAAATATTTTCAAAATCCATTGACACATGGCTTTGAAACTTTGCACACTTGTTAACCATCATGACCTTAACCTGTAGACTTGAGGAGGTAACTGTATCAAGCATGTTGACAGAATTATGCCCCTTTTTCAACTTAGAATTTTCGTGTAAATTTTTGTTATACCTCAGATATTTTCAAAGTCTATTGACTTATGGCTTTGAAAAATGGCACACATGTTTACCATTATGACCCCAACCTGTAGACAGGAGGAATTGACTGTATCAAGAATTATGACAGAATTATGCCCCTTTTTCTATTTAAAATTTATATTAAAACTTTTGTAACACCTCAAATATTTTCAAAGTCCATCGACATATGGTTTTGAAACATTGCGCACTTGTTCACCATTACGACCCCAACCTGTACACAAGAGGATGTAACTGTATTAAGCATTTTGACAGAATAATGCCCCTTTTTCGACTTAGAATCTACGTTAAAGTTTTTGTAACACCTCAAATTTTTTCAAAGTCCATTGACATATGGCTTTGAAAGTTTTCACACTTGTTCACCATCATGACCCCAATCTGTAGACAGGAGGAGGTAAATCTATGAAGCATTTGGCAGAATAATGGCCCTTTTTTAACTTAGAATTAATATTTAAGTTTGCATACCACCTCAGATATTTTCATATTCTATTGACAACTTGGCTTTGAAACAAGTTGAAAGTTTATACTCTTCTTTGAGAGCATAAAAGGACTCTCTCCAAGGCCTATAACTGAACATGGATATAAAGAAATTTTAGAAAAATTTACATTATCAAGGCTCTTTTACTACCAAGCACTAAGAATAGTCGAGCGTTGCTGTCCTACCGACAGCTCTTGTTAGTTATAGCTCGACACTATCATCTGACCCCTTACGAAAACATGTATCATACTATGTTGACCATACCGATAAGCCCTGACTCATGGTACATTAAATAAAAATCCACATGCATGATATATCTACTCTGAATATGAAAATGAAATAAATGTATATCCTTTAAAGGAAACAGTTTAAAAATGAGCTTTGATCTTTTATTGGTTAAATCAAATCTACAATAATGCAGGTACCTTTGTAGTTAATTTTCATGTTTAAAACAATCACTGCCCTCGGGCAAAAAGAGATAATAGTCCGAAGAGACTACAATCCAAAGCATGTCTTATCTGGATGCAGTTATTTGAGTTAATGAAATCAATTGTGCCATAAAAGAATGTAATTAAAATATTGTTAGATAAAACTAAATTTTTCATTTTAATCCTAAATCAATATAAATATCATTGGATAAAGATCATAAATACACTTAAACAAATTTCTTATTCGTCTCACTCTTAAAATGCATTGTTTCGGAGGCTTAGCTACATAAAGCTGAATTTTTTACCTTTTCGAGAAATCTAAGCAGTCACTTACTTGATACCGCTATTGGGCTTATTCGATTTAAAAAAAAACACAGAATGTGGCACTACTCAATTTAGTGACCACTTATTTCCTCCAATTATCATTTCCTGTAATCATGCAAAGTTTATGAAAAACGTTCTTGTTTAAATTAACTTTTAACTGAAGTTGACAATGGAAAGTCAATGTAAGTCACAAAGATTTTGACGACGGGTCAAAAACTTTCCTTTAGTGACATTTTCGCATGATTGATTTTGACACGGTAAATTGGTGTTGATATGTTTGATAGAAATAGCATTCAAGACAATATATAAGAAAATAAAGGTAAATATTGCTAAGACTATTCAGAACAATGCATTTAAAGTGATGGCAAATTGGTAAAGCGTTCTAGTGACTAATTTCAAGATATTTGTCCCGCAAAATTATGATGTAAATAATTTATGTGGTTTTGGTATAATAGGTACATTTTGATTTTTTTCAGGGTGCGAAAAAAGATGGAGAGTGATGCGTAGAGATGAATAAAGAAGACGTGTATACCTTGAAACATATCATCTTTTTATTACAGTGTAAATGATTGAGTAAAATGTGAACATTTCCTTTCATTGTCAACAAATAACCCTTATATGGTTTGGTTTTTTAACGTTGAAAATACAAATATTTTGATTTAAGAAGATCGAACATCAAATAACAGTAAAACAATATGATATAAGGATGTAATAAAATATGTTCCATAAGAAAGTTAACCTTCCCTTTATCCTTAGTTTAAAGTGATATAGTTTTACCAAACAAATATCGAATAAGATATTCCCTGTTTGTATTTTATTTAATTGTGTAAATGTAAGTGATAGTGTAGCAGAAGAAAGACAGTTTAAATTGCATTATATTGAAACAATGCATACTTAGGAATGAGTGGGAACCGTGTATTAACGGCTGTCAGGCAATTATAGTAGGAACTAAATCTTTATCCAAGGAGAAGTAGAAGTAGCTGTTCATACAGTCATCTTTGTGTTGAAAGGCTATGCAAACAGAATAATGTTTGAATTTCCAAAGAATGATATTTTCATGTTTCACTAGAGAACTGTCTACAAAGCTGTGATTACATATGTATATATATCTATATAACATTCCTAGTTCCTGTGTTGTTGTGAAACAACCTTTTAATATTTTTGTTAGTTGTCCTGAAATATCTTGATGCTCCAAAAATTAAAAAAATTAAATAAATATTGATTTATTTATATTGCTTGTTTTATTCTTAATGATTTCAATCTTACATTTTCTCGCAACTTTGATACAAGTAGATAACATTACATACATGTAATAAGATGGTAGAACGTTACTTTGTTGTGGAAGTAAGAGTGGTTAAATGGTCTTTGCTTGTTGATAGGGTGATACGTTATGTGAACGTTTCAAGGTCAAAGTTTGTGTAAACGTTGAATGGTACTAATGACTATGAACGTTGCTTTGTTGATAGATTTTGAGGACACTGCTATAGAATAAGTTCTGTGATTGTAACTATGTTGAAAAAGTTTGCAAAAGGTGTTATGCTTAAACGTTCTATGGACGTTAGGTTAGTAACACGCTATATGAACCTGGCTTTTTATGATATGTCCTGTGAACGTAGCTATTGTGATATACTCTGGTAGCTGTACAAGAGCAATGCTTCTCAACATAAGCTCGGACAAGATCTGCTGACATCATAAATTCTTTTTTCGGTTCCAGTCGTGTCATAAACATTGGATCTTTTCATGCAAGAAATTATAAAGCTAACTTTCGAAAGGTCAACGTTCTTTTATGACAAATAATTTGACATTTAGCACTGTTTTTTCAAATAGAAAGCATTTTACATGCTCTAAAACCACCCGTTAAAGGTTTAAACTCCAGTAGAAATTTAATTTTGTATATGAGCATAATTCGCTTTAACAGATACTAATCCCAGAAAATTGCACTCATTTTATTTATAGACTTTTCAAAACTCAAATATCAGTCGGTGGTGTTAAAGCAGCTTGTTATATGTTCCCTTGACAATCGTTGTTTTACATTTGAAGACGATGAGTGATCGATACAATAATAGAACGACACAGCTGAAAATTTTAAAATTGATTAGAAAAAGCAGAACAAAAAATGGATTGACGCTTTACAAGGATGGTTAAGTTCACAGGTTTCATCGATGAATTGTGGCTGCTTAAAGTGGCTATGAAAAAAGTTTGAAACTTAAATTCTTAGAGAACGCTTGCAATGAAATCTTTTAGCATTCTAGTGTCACAGAAATAGGGACAAAAATCTGGAAACAAAGTGATCCCTTGGAAGCATTAATCACAACAAAATTACATAATAATTGCAGACTCAGTTTGATTGAGTCTGTACATGAGGGATAATGAATAAGTGCAACATCCCTCACGCCCCCTAGCACCGACTTTAGCGGTACTCAATTCTCAACACTTAATAGTGCTGGCATCAATGATCCCGAAGGACCAGAAAAATTTAACAACACTGAAGTGAAGTACGGGACAACTTTTTACAGCTGCCACACGGCACTTGACACCTGCTGTTGTGAAGTATAAAAATCTGGAAACAAAGTGATCCGTCGGAAGCATTAATCACAACAAAATTACATAAGAATTGCAGACTCGGTTTCATTGAGTCTGTACGCCAGTCACAACAAATCAGTCCCTAAAATTACAATCATTATTGTTATAACTATATCATTTTGTTGTATGAGTCGGCCCAGTTTGGACTTTAGAACAGAAGCAGCATTCAAAGTTGAACGGCCCATTATGTCCAAGAAATGTTATGAATTCTGTTTCTCATTTTTTATGCCTTTTTGCTTTTGTTATTTAGCATAGTTCGAGTGATTTTAGTATTTTGAATGGAAATTAAATACTACTTTATTTACAATTTGCTTCTTTCATGACAAATAATTTCACATTCAGCAGGGTGGTAAGTATCTAACATGCTATAAAACCATTACTTAAACATTTTAAATATCATGTTTGCCCTTTTCAAAGATGTTTTAAGGTATTTCAGTATTGTAAAATAGTCAGTAAATAATGAAGCAACTACTTTGCGTTGGGTCTTAAATGATAATGATAATGAACGGCAAAAAATAACAATACAACTGAAATGACGTCACATCAACTCTTCTTCCCGACAACGTAACGTTGTCTGACTGTCGTTCCCACTCACAACAAAATAGAGAAGGCCTCTGTATAAAGTCTGGTCAGATTACACGACTGTGTATGACTGTACATGTTGGCCTTCTCTTATGCAGATGGTAAAAACACTCTCATATTTTGGCTACCTGTATGTAAAGGATTAATGTACAATACTAAACTACTAATATGTGTATTTGACAAATGATACTAATTTTAATAAAACAGTTCTTAATTTAAAACAATGCAAAATATGTTACATACGTGAAAAGGATAAAATAAACACTAAAGATTCTTTGTTTTGCTAACGTCTTACTTGATTATTATTTGTTACTTTTTAGCCGTGTACCTGCTGACATCAAAAGCTTGAAAAACGCCATCAGTACAGAACCAATCCGTGTCTGTTGTTCATGCTTAATTAGATTACTTGTTACTTTACATAGACACAGACAGAATATTTTGATTTGTAATAATTCAAAAGTATTTTAATCGTTTAAATTGACCACCCACCCACCAACACACACACGCACCAATATTTCAGGGAATGTGTGACCGTATGATGTATTTCTTACAGCGAGATAACACCTTGACATTCAGCATCACAAAACAGTGTGTTTCTCTGTAATAACAGTACATGGTGGTATTGTAATTGTCTTTTCACAAAAACAAGATTTGTCCAATTAGGAATGTTGAGCGAGAAATGCTGTTCTGAAATGCTGCGGATTAAAATAAAGGAAGTCTAGATGATCAACAACTGTAATTTTAATGGTTGGATACTACGTCAACGCGCACCTGCAAAATGCTCCTTAGCCGACTGTTTTTTTGTACACATCCCGTCGACACAAAGGTAAAATATGTTGTTTTTTTCCCTAAGAAATCGTTAGAAAAAAATTATGAAGCGCACCAAATATTGGCTTTAGTCCTTGATATCATTTTTAAAAAATGTTTAAAGTTTTACTAAAAAAAGGAATAAAGTTTTTTTCCTCAATGCTCTCACTCGGACTCCTAAACAAAATTTATCCCGTTTTCAGACTTAAGCCAGACAGTAAAACTTTAAAGGGTTCTAAAAATTTTATCAAGGACTAAAGCCAATCTTTGGTGCGCAACACTATTTTTTTGATATCCTAACGAGTTCTTATAATAAACAAGAAGTATCTTTAAAATAAGATACTCGGCCCAAGTAAAACTGTTTAACTTGCATATGTTAGTTTTTAGTCAAATAGAAATGTTAACATAACTTGCATAAAAATGGCAAAATAATTTCTTGTACGGTTATTAATCTTAAAAATGGAACGCTTTAAGATGTATGTGTTTCTAAACACACCTGTTGTGTTTCGGTAAGTTCTGATATTATTCTCGTTATTTTGGACAAATTTTAAAACTCAGATTTTGTCTAAAATAAACTCAAAAAACTGTTCACTAGAAAATGTAATGAGATCTGAATGCAATAAGTATTGTTAAACAAAACTTTGATATCTTAGCAATTTAACAAGAACGTTAAAGAACTATACAATACATTTTATTTCATAATGGCAATACTTATCCTAGAACTATCTTAGTATAACATAAACTATCTTTTACATTTTATTTCAGAATGGCCAATGGAATTCCCAGATTTCATCTTATAATTTTGAAATGATTAATGAAAACTCTTCTTATATTCAGTTCTTCTCTGTAAATTTTAAAGGAAGCCCAACTAAAAAAAAGGCCTTCCATTGGCATGAAAAAATATTTAATCTTCGAGTCAGTCCGGATGGGAACATTTTGCAGGTGTGCGATGACGTTGAATTTATTTATACACAACTGTACCTTATATCCATTTATGTTTATGACGGAAATTTTGGTAAAGCCCATTAGTGCAGAATTACTGTAATAATAATAATAATAATAACAATAATAATATTTATAATGGTAATATATTTACAAGCACTTTTGATTGATTATCGGACCTATCGGCTTATAAAACTCCCATGACTAATTTGATTTACATCCTGAATTAATTTATATAAGATCAACACTAATGCGATTAATATACGATTCGTGTTGTGTGTTGTTATTGACTAAATTAAAACTATTTTTTTATTGTAAATCTTATTACTTGTCGTGAGAATCAAGTTCGGTCTTACCACGTACATGATATATGAATAAGGAAATAAAAGATAATCGTGTATGTAATAAAAGATAATAAGGCAAATAATGGACTCAGGTGTAGTGAAATCTTATATATTGCTTTCAGAACAATATTTACAAATGTCACCATGGAATTACTTACATAAATAGCCTTTCATACATATTACAAAATATCTATCTTTTGTTGTTATGAATATCTCCAGAAATCACAAAGACATTTTGTATG